AGGAGCAGAATCACAAAGCCAGATGGAATAGGTCTTAAAACGTTCACAACAATCTCAAACACTGGTTCATTCTGTATCAATGCATCGGTCAAAAAGGGGCCTAAGAAACCTATGTGAAGGGAAAAAGGAAAAAGGGTGAAATCCTCAATTAGATGTTCTTTCTGCAGCAAGAGTGCAATCAATACTGTATATAAGATGCCAGCGTGTTTTCCTGACAGTTACACATTTCAAAACAATCACGTCAAACTCACGTGTCTACACTGCTGGAAACGAAAAGGAGTCATGGCACAGAGGAAGAAACGGTCCAGAGTGCGGCTTCATTTCACAAAGAAAGACAATAGGGCTAGTTGTAACGTGAGTAAAATAATAATTTCAAGTAAGGGTGGAAACATTGGCAATTACTGAAACATCTTTGTATGCAACATGTGCTTACATTCAAGGACTTTTTGACATGTATGCGACACTCACGAGTGGCACCGCTTCCCAAACGTCCATCCGCAAAGGGAATATCCTGTGTTATAATATCATTAGTGCCACACAGGCAAATGTTTTTCCCACACAGAATATGAATCTGGACTAACTGGGGAATCAATAGAGAACTGGAGTCGAGAGCAGCCTCAATAAAATGTTGTCAATTCCCATCCCTAAGAAAGGGGTAATGTAACTTTGGTTCTGCCCAGTTCAGAAAGCTTACTTTATTGTTGTTTATTGTGCTTAAAGAGGCTTAAACAGACTTAGAGGAGTATTTCACAATACAAGTAGCTTTTGGATCACTAAATTTACTTTCATCTTGAGTACTCATATCGACAGATACCCTGTGTTGAGGTATTGGCAGAGAAAGAATTTGAACGGTGCATGCCTAATAAGCTACTGTTGATGTTGTGCAAAACAGCCACAGAACACACAGTCTTTACACCTTTATGAAAAAGTTTTTAGCATTTGATCGTTGTGTCCACTCTATGATTCTATACTCACAGCATTTAAGCATCGTTCTCATAATATCTAGTCTGTTCTCTTTCTCTCTCTGTGCTCTCCATCTGTACAGTATGTTCCTTCTGTTTACTTGTGCATGGATTAGCCTGCCTAGTCATTGTTTCATGTTGTTTGTATAGATTTTTTTCTCATCTGTCACAACTGAAATCTGAGCTTTTTTTTCATAATCCACACAGCTTTCATGTGCTATAATCCACTCTTAAAGCCCTTATTAAGAGGTTATTTCACCAGGCAGAGAGGAGAAAATCTAGAAAGAGAAAGGAGTTTCAATACAGGGACATTTTAGCAGCTGTCCCTCACCTCAGGTGGAATGGCTAAAATTAACACTTTCTTTTTGTGCCTTTTCTTTCCTTCTCTGGCTGTTATGAAAGGCCCTGACATAGTCGAGTGAAAGCCTCAACATGGTTTCCGATTTATCCTCTGCAAAGGACCATGGATCAAAAGAGATATGCAATTTTGAATATCTGAGAAAACACCGCAAGGGCTGTTTGTTAAGTGAAAACAATATGCTGGCTTGCACTTCAAAAGTGTCAGAGCACACAGGCCTAGGCTTTCTAACAACACTGCACGTGTCATTGGAGACAAGATAATTTCAAAATACTCTCTACATTTAGCAATCTTAGAAAAATAGCCAGACATGCTCAACTGTCTTCTAAATTAATTGAAGGAGGCTACAAAAACGAATCTGTCTAGCTGTGTTTATTATCTTTGTATGATAGTGGATAGTGAAAGTTCCATGTGCTGATTTTGTTTTCACTTTCATAGCACAACATAATATTTGGGTCACCCGTCAGGTGAAGGACCCAAAAAAGAATCACATAGGTATATTTTAAGTTTGAATTGAAAAAAAATAAACAATACACTGTCATCAGACCTTTCCATCCTGTAGTCCGTCCACTATCAGACCAGACAAACATACCATATCTTGTTTGTAGTGTGAATAATGCTTCTAACGGACAGTGCTAATGAGCTAGCGTACTGTATCATCCTAGAGCCATCTTGGTGTGATTCTGCTGTTGCAATTAGAGTTGGCAGTGATGCATTCAACACAACACTCTTGAAATAGGTGTTATTGTGTTCAGGTTACAGTAATAATCTGTACAGCATTTGAGCGAGAAGGCCACCTTTAAATTGTAATTGTAAAAAAAACCCTGATTTACTGGGGCCTAGTAGTTTTATTAAATCATTCTGCCCTGCAGTGTAATCTATTCACTGTTAACGAGTATTTCTTGCTCTGGTATTTCTCAAGAGACAGCCCACCCCAAGACCTTAAACAGAGGGAACTCACATTCCAATCTCCAGCATGCAGAGAGACAGAGGAGAAGGGGAGGGAAAAACAGGGAAAAGGAGAAACGAAGAGAAGGAAGAGGGAGGGGGGAAAGGGAGAAAGAGAGAAGGAGAGATAAGGTGAGGGATGTGGACAGAAATGATTAGAATGTCAGAGTCCTGGCATGCTTTCCACAACAGGAAGGAAACAAGACGAGAGGAAAAGGCACCATCAGTGATGGGAGAAGGGAGGAGGGAATCGTGGGAGGTGGAGAGTAAAGAACTAGTGACAGAAGTGAGACAGAAGGAGAGGACGAGGAAGAGATGCAAGAAAGTAGCCGGGTAAGGGAGGGGTGAGTATAGTGAGGCTAGTGTAGGACGTCGTAAACAGGTAAGACCCCCACTTTCAGCTCCTGTCAGCGCTATGCGCTGCATGTCGACAGTCAAAGTGCAAGCTGGCCACCTATGAGATTAAAATGTCCTCTTTTTCCTGACTTTGCATTTGCCAGAATTCTCTCTGTGCGTGCTGCCAAAGACCTTGCCAGCTCCAGATATGCATAGGATACACATTAGAGGATTTTTGAAAGAGTGACCACATCCCAATCACAGTTTATCTGGTACAAATTTTAATTTAAAGATTTTGCTTGCACTAGCACTAACTAAGGCTCAGGGGAAATCTTCATTTGAAACTGCAAACAAGAGCCCCAACTGTACTTACAATGGGAAGGGCTGAAGCCTTTTCGGAGGCAAGTTTTTAGCCAACTCCAGCTGCTTAATCCAGGAACACCTAGAGATGTTTCAGCCGCTCTCAATCCCAAAAGGCCTTTGATAATCTTTCAGCTGCCCATCTGCAAACCCGACATTTTCCTTTTTCTCTTTTCTCCCACCTCCCCTTTAATTCGGCAGCTACATGTGTTACAGAACATGGGCGCTTCCACCTACACACTCAATTTCTATAGCCTACTTAATATTGTAAATGCAACACAGCCTCCAGATCTGCTCAGCCTTGGCATTCAGAGCTGCAGACAAGGGAGGGCTGATGGCATGACATGTTCGATGAGAAGAGTTTTTGGGGGGGGGTTTTGACATAGCGGCTGCAGTAGCCAAAGCAAAGCAGACAAAGCAGCTGAAATGCTGTCTTGCGGAGAATATATCTCTAATGCTGCTGTTGTGTTTCAAGTTGAGAATTTGACCCACCCCGGCCACCCAATGAATAGAGATGAGATCTCTTTGACGCGTCCATTTAGAACTTGTCAAAGGAGGAAGCAGTGTGTTTGTGTGTGTGTGACTGTGTGTGTGTGTATGCAAGCCCCCTGGAGGGCTGAAGCTGGTAGCCCGAGGACAGACTCTACAGGTTGAGATGACAGCAATAACAGAAGACAGAGCGGCAACACGGGGGGGTCCACTTACAATAAAGAATGTGATTAGGGCAGAGGAAAGCTAGGACACAAGCATGGACTACACAACAAACTAACAAACTTGCATACACACAAACTATAGTACGTATTAGAACTTCTAAAAAGATCTAAATAGTTTCACTCAAACGAAAAAGCGTTGGATGATCAAAGCCTCTGTGGCATCTTCATCACTTAAGTGTAGCACTGTTACATCACTGCTCAAATCTGACTAGACTACACAGACGGCCATTTTGATTAATGAGACTGGTTTTGACAGAGCACTGGGTAGAAATAAAGCTTGAACTTGATATTTGATTTCCCTGAAGCTCCTATTTGAGCATTGTTTTCCCCAGTAACCAGCATGATTAGTAACATTTAATAGGCTAGAAGCCTGGTTTTAAGAGAAACAATTCATAAACTTTCCCCTGAAAAAAAAAAAAAAAAAACACAGGGTCGCTCTCTGTGAAGGATTTTTTTTTACATGAATCCACACCTTGCAAATGTCCAAACAACCCACACAAGCCACAGCAATGCATGGCAGACAAAAAAAAAAGTGCACTGCAACAGTCATGTAAAGCTCCTGCAAAAAATAACAGCTGCTTCACTACAAGTATGACAAAGATTTTTTTTCTTTTCCCTCTGATACCAATAAATCATCTCGCTGTGGTTGTGTCATCCTTCCCAAAAGTAAGAAAAGATGGACAGCGAGGTGGAGGATGGCAGGAAAAACAAGAAACAAAAAAAAAAAAAGAGCGACCGCAGCTAGCCATCACAATTATGCAGCGGTCACGCAGGGTCTTATCCAAACAACAATTACCTTTATCTGATGGTCTTGGTTTCCTGTTTCTTTAAGAGCAACGGTGAATCTCTGTCTACATTTTAAAAAACTGTGGATCTCTCCTATAGAGAGGCTCAGAGGACGAAAATGTTAACTGAACGGTGGCATTATTAATAATAATAATAATAATAATAATAATAACAGCCACACAAATCCAAATGTTTTAGCCAACGACATGAATGGTGAATGAGCCCGTTAAAACACAGCTAACTAAATGGGATATGTGCTAGAAGATAAGGGCGGTGTATGAGCCGCGACACACCACACAGGCAACGTTAACGTTATCCACACTGCTAGCTAAACTTTTTTAGTGCAGTTGTCTCACCGAAGCGTTACCTGAACCCCCCCCACACACACACACACACACACACACACACACACACACGTAATTAATGCACAGATATCGAAATAAACAACTCGACTGCTTGTTAACCAGAAGAGCTAACGGTGTCGGTGTCGCCCAGTGTGTCAATGGGAAGACCAGCGGAGGAAGAGAGTGCACTCACCTTTATTAATTTCCACCTTGTCGCGGCGTTTTCGAGAAGAAAAAAATAAATAAGCGCTCTCGCTGGTCAGTCACCGGCATACAGACAACCGTCACGGCCGGGTAAGAGATACCAAAACCGGCTGTAAAGAGTTGGGAGCAGGGGGGAAACCTCTCTTGGGTCTCTTCACCTTTGTATCTGTTGTTGTCCGCGCACTGTGCCGACCGCCTCTCGGTTTGTTCAAATCAGAAGTTCATCCAAAAGTTGCAGCGGTTCGCTCCGCCTCACGACGACAATGAGGTCACCGCCTCTCTCTCTCTCTCTCTCTCTCTCTCTCTCTCTCTCTCTCTCTCTCAACTCCTCTCGGCTCCGCTACTCTCGCGATATGAACGGGAGCGAACGTATTGGTAGACTGCGCAGTCTCGCGAGATGACAGAGAGTGGAATGAAAAGAGCGGACGGGCAGATTGCTGGTGAAAGGATGTGAGGGAGGGAAAGCGTTGCTCTGGCAACAGAATCGGATGAGCTTTTTCAGCGATGGCTTTCTCCTCGAGCAACTGGTGCCTGTGTTGCAGGTTTGGTTGTTGTTGAATGCTGCGACTGATGAAACCCAGGTAGCTGGTATTGCATCATGCTATTGTAGTTTGCATCCAGGTATGAGAAACATAAGTGGACAACCATCAGAAGTTACATTAGGCTTAGGTCCCTTGACAAGGCAAGTTTAATCGTAAAGCACATTTCAACAACAAGTGTAATTCAAAGTGCTTTATATAAAACTTAAAAGGCATCAAGACAAAAAAAAGAGAAACACAAGGCAATAGAAAAAGTCATTTAAATACAATCAAAAAGAGGTGCATAGAAAATACAAATAGATAAAACAGGAGAGTAAAAGTTACAGTGCAGAGTAACATATTAATCAAATTTGATTTAATAAAATGCAGTGGCAAACAGAAAAGTCCTCAGCCTTGATTTAAATTAACTGCAGAGTTTGTTCCAGACTTGCGTTGCATAAAAACTAAAAGCTGCCTCTCCATGTTAAGTTTTCACTTTAGGGACAGAAAGCAGAACTGAGAGGTCTGGATGCAGAAGATCAGTATGTATTTTGGCCCTAAATCATTCAGTTTTTTTTTTTTTAAAACCAACAGCAGTATTTTAAAATCTATTATCTGACAGACAGAAAACCACTGTAAAGACCTCAGAAGTGGAGTTATGTGATCCCCTTTTTTGGTCTTACTTACAACACAAGCAACATCCGCTGTCTGATCAAGTTTTTAGAGAGACCTGTAAAGAAACCGTTACAGAAGATAAGTCAACTAAAGATAAATGTATGGACAATAATTCTTGATATATCCCTCAGGTGATAGTAGAATGGCTTTGTAATTACTTAGTGTACACCAAGATTTCTGGCTTGGTTTGTGGTTTTCTTTTAAATTACCCACTAAGAGAGCTTGGCTCCAAAAACAATTAGGCCTACTTCAGTTTTATCTTTGTTTAATTGAAGAGAATCTGGCATATCCAATTGCTGATTTGTTCAATGCACTTACTCAGCACGGTATGGGATTATAGCCCCTAGTGATATGGTTATGTGAATGTGTGTGTCATCTGCATAATTATGGTAAAAAGCAATTTCCATAATCTCAGCTAGTGGGAGTATATAGATATTGAAGAGGTCCCAGAATGGAGCCTTGGGGAACTCCACAGGTCATTTGTATTCACTCAGCTGTGTAATTACCTATAGCCACAAATCAGTCCCTGTCCTTTAAGTAGTATTCAAACCAGTGTTGTACTCTATAACAGAAAGTCCCACCCAGTTTTACAGTTGGCCTAATATGTTGTGATCGACTGTGTTGAATGCTGAGATCCAATATTACTAAGACTGAAATCCAGATGCTGTCTGTGTTTAAGAATGTCACTGAAGACCTTAACAAGAGCAGTCTCAGTGCTGCGATGTGGTCAAAATCCTGAATGAATGAATCCTGAGATTTAAATAGAGAAGAAGTTGTTCAGCTGTTGAAAAACAGCTTTTTCAATGATTTTACTTTTAAATAAAAACAGGAGGTTTAAAATGAGCCTATAATTGTTTTAATTAGTGAAGTGTCTAGATTGTTCTTTTTTTAAGAGTGGCTTGGTGACTGCAGTTTTCAGGGTCTGTGTGAATAACCCAGAGAGAAGACACATGTTGATAATTTGCAGAAGATCTGAAGCATGCAATTAGAAATATTTTTGAAAAAGCCTGCAAATATCAAGGCAACAGGAGGAGGACTTCAGCCTCTCTTTATAGATATCATAATGAACCTCGACACTCTTTTTTTCTATTCTTACCAGCGTGAAATTTCTCCACGGATATCTTGTATTACCAGAGTCCACCTGCGACTTAGTGGGTGCAATGGCATCAGTAACATTTATACATTTAGAATATAAAATATCTACAAGCTCATTGACTGAGACACCGAAGATGGTGGGCGTGAAAGAGAAAGCCTGAATAAATATTCCACTGGTGTTTTCTGTGATATACCGTTTTGTGATTCTGTTTAAACATTTGTATGCACAGAGACAGCACTCTCAAAGAAAACACAGGAATGATCAGAGAGAGCAACATCAGTCACCACAGCCTTAGAAATGTTCAGACCCTTGGAGATGATTATCTCCAGAGTCTACAACTTGTTGTGCGTATGGGCTTCCTCACATGTTGAGTTAGTCCATAGTTATCAAAAACCAACACAGGTTTTCAGTCCCTCTGTCCTGGGGGTTGTCAACGTGGATGGATCACCAACAGTAACTACACAGTCAAAGTCAATACAAATTATAGACAGCAGTTCAGCAAAGTCATCAAAAACATTTGCACAGTATTTAAGTGGCCTGTAGATATTCAGAAATACAGTTTGAGAAGAGGAATTCAACTGAGAGCCACATATTCAAAAGATCAAGATCACACAGACTAATTTATGACGTCATCATAAGCCACATTTATCTGTGTAGCACCTTGTGTAGCTCCAGCCCATTATTGAGCTTAAGGCTTTGTTATTGATCTTGAAAACTACTTTGACAAAATAAATCTGTTTCTGCCCATTTTATGAATGCAAGTCAAATATTAATTCCGCAAAAAATATATGGGACTCAAGCAGCTAGAACTTTCACTGCCCAATGGTGCTGTACATGTAGTGCGCACTGGGTTTATAAGAATCTTTTGCATAAAACAGCTGCTCACTGAGACTGTACTATGGGCCATAAAACCAAAACAGTCCCACAAACACTTTGTATAGTTGAGGGAAACTGAAGAACAATTATACTATTGGATTAATATTACTCATGCATTAATGTTTAATGAGTATTTTAATGCTGAAGAGGGTTGAGGTCAACCAAATTCAATCTACTTTGAACTACTCTAGCCACCTGAAAAGTAGTGGAGTAAAAGTAAAGTATTTAGTAGCAGAACACCTTTAAGAGTACTATGCCAATGTAACATTGCACTCCTATAACTTTTTCTGACTTTTTAAAAACGGGATCAAAATCGATGCAGCAGAGTCAGAGATTTTTTATTCCATGTATTCTTCTCCCTTGTCATAACCTCCCACCTACATTACCCACAATGCAACTCGACCACCGACATTTCAACCTGTGATTTGGGTGTGTAATGCTTTGAACTGATGTAACCTCGAGCTCCCTTCCCCTAGTGAAGTTCCCCTTTAAGTACTCAAGTAAAGTATAGTAGTAATAGTAGTGGATACAGTACTTGAGTAAATGCACTTAGTTTCTTTCTGCCATTGTTTATTTGTTGACCTAAGGAAAGTTGATCTATGATGGCATATAAGCATATCTGAGATCACAACCAGTGATGCTCTTATACTAAAACCCATACAGGGTAACTCCTGTCTACCAATTTACCATTGACGTGGTTGTTTATGCCACCCAACAAACATAAATGTGGCAGATGATTTTCAAAGCCTCACCAGACAGCAACTGTTGCAAACAAGAAATTTAGAAGTCTTCTTGAAATTAATATACAATCTGTTAGAAATAGTAATAGTAACAAAGATGCACTGACTCTATGTTTGTGAAAAGACTTAAATGCTGTGAGCTCAGCTTTGCAAATCCCACCTGCTTGCTTCCCTCACATACATTAATTATTTCAGCATAAAATTTTAATTAGATAAGAGAAAGAACACTGCCCTAATTAAAGCAGCTCAGCAGGTACCAACATAAGGAGTGGGTTGAATTGTATGAGAGTCACAGGAATTCATCGCTCTCTCCTACATAATCACCTGTGAATAGTTACATTCTTGTTCTCTGCATTATCTGTCCTCTGTCTGTCTTTTCTTCTCAATAATTATTCATCCTGGTTCCAGTGACAGTAGTTCATATTCTCATCTTCATTTACTCAGTCTCTCCACATTTACCTCTGCCTTCCTTTTATTTCCACTTTCCATCTATGCATCCATTATTCTAAAATGTCATCCAGGATTACATAACAATCTAATAAAGACAAAGGAAAAGAGATTACCGTCATTAAAACCTCTCTATTCCTGTAGCTCTATGGGTCCTAACACTACCCACCCCATTCTGTCATGGGGCGGATATTTGTGTGGGTGGTTTGTATTGTTCTCTGGTGAAAAACTGCTCCCCCAGGATTACCTCAAGTAGTCTAATTGGGTTAGCCACAGAATGAAATTCAGCAAGGATTAAAGCATAGAAAAGACACATCATCAACAATAAATGACAGTGAAACTTTACTGTTTGTTATGCCAATAAAATAGTGAGGCATCAGTTACATAGGCGGCTTAAAATAGTGACAACTTGAGAACCCTTAATTCATCTATTGGTGGAATTATGAGGTTTATAGTGCTGAGAGGTGTCCTGTGTCTTTAATATGCTTTATTTACGAGAACAATGTAATAAGATCTTTATAAACTCCGTAAACTTCTGTAACGTCAATATTAGATTAAAGCAGTGGAGCATGTGTGTGTATGTGTGTCCTTCCGTGTGTGTGCCAATGATGCAACAAACACTTTACAAGCTGCTGATATTTCTCACTCTCACTTTCCCTGAATGTACAACTGAAATTCCAAGACTGTAAAGGAAAAAGCCTTAGCTATGTCCTTATTCTATACAATCTACTAATACATGTAGTATATAAGTACATATTATATATAATATACGTATGTATTGATCTTTAGGGATGCACAATCCAACTTTTTATTTCCTGATATCGATTCTGATACCTCAAAAACAATTAACTTTATGATAACAGTGACACCATTTTTTATTCATACTATTGTGTACTT